ATCTGGTCCCCTCTGGACCCTCATTTCCTTCACCTGCTCCCACCACCGACCAAACTGTGCAGCTCTGCAACTGCATCCTGGCCCATCCTCACCCTTCTGCCCCCAACCCTCACCTCCTTGTACCCCCAATATGTTTTTCCCAATAAAAAAAAATATTTAAAAAAACAAAAAACAAGCATTCAATATTTTTCATTAGAACTAATAATTAAAAGAAAATTAAAACATGTAATTCCTTTTAAAGAAACCTACATGAACTTCAGTTCAAACTGGCATTGCAAAAAACCCTTTTCCCCCTTCAAGAAAGACATTTCAGTTCTTAGGGAATTGCATTGTTGCTAAATTTGTGGATAGAATTTGCAAAAATAAGAGCAGTGTCAGTGTATCTTATACATACAAATACTGTAAAATTCTAATTAAAATAATTTTTCTGGTTTTCCTGCTACATGTTTTTAGACTTTACAGTCATGGACACATATGTGAAGTGTTTTGTTTAACATGAATAGGGTTATTCAGGCCCGTGGACCTATAACCTGACTGGGTGCTCATAATTCTAAGTCAGATACGTATATGAGAAAAAAATGTATGTGTATGTATATATATAAATACACACACTCATGCATTTACATGCTTAAAATGTTCTCCCTCCATTGGCTAATTATTGTATTTTATTGTGTAATGTGAACTTCATGGTAAATTCCAGTGTGTGAAATATTGTTTCCTTCTTAGGAGGGAGTCCGATTCTTCGTGGTGGATTGCCGTCCTGCAGAACAGTATAATGCTGGGCATTTATCAACTGCTTTCCACTTAGATTCCGATCTGGTTAGTACAAATGCAAGTGAAAAGAAAATAAAAAGTAATATTTTTTTTCTTTAGTCTATAAAAAAATATTCTGTCCCAGATTTGAGCCATAATTTTCTTTCAGCCTAAGGAGCAAATCTCTGCCCTGATGAGAAGAGTGTTACTCTCAGATTTACTTTTGACCCAAGTTCTTATTTTTGCACCATAAAGGATGGATGGAAACACCTTTAAGAGTAGTTCACTGTTACTTATTGTTATATCTGTAAATTTCTACTGTGAACTACCTGATACAGCATTTAGCATAGTGCCTTTTTCCTAGTAAATATTCTATAAACATTAGTGCTTATTATTAATTGGGAAAGAATTTTTAAAGTTTTTACAATGAGCACAGTTTTAATTATGCATACTTATATTTAATCAGGATAATATTATATGATCTGATATGTAGGTCCTAAGAAAAGAGTAACTTATTAAGGCCATTTTAATTGAAGAAATGAATAAAGTAGATAACTGAAGGCTATTAGAGGTACTTTAAAACTCTTAGAACTGAGACTGACATTATATAAGCTGTTCTAGGGTCAGTTGGAGCCTCAGAGATGGAGAAAATAGGGCAGTGATGGAGTAACCTCTTATGCTAAATATGTAAGCCATCCACCTCCTCTCTAACTTATTTGGAAAAGTTGATGCTGAGGCTAAAAAGTTGAATAAAATGGCCTAGTAGATGATGAGCAGAAAATGGAGATAGAACAACCCGAAAGTTTTGTACAACATAGGTGAGAAAGGCCATCCTAGAATTAGAAAAGCAGTCCTACCATAAGTGGATTTTTGTGCCTTCTCTTCTTGACTCCTCTAGGAAGACTTAAATGGTCCTCTTAAGCTTGTTTGGAAAGTATATTCAGGTGATTTAGGAATACACCCTCTTCTTTGAAAATTGAAAGGCTATCCCCCAAATAAATTACTGTTACCAATTTACTTAATCTTCTAGATGCTTGACACCTATTTATATATTTCTTATTTTATACTTTTTCACATGACAGTTTCTTTGAAATCTATATAAGAATATTCATTATAAGGGTATATAGCAGTCAGTGATACAAATTTAGCTTAATGTGTTTAGACTATTCATGTCCAATGAACTGTTGATGTTCATTTGCATTATTTTCAGTTTTCCTATAGTAAATAGTATCGAGTTAATCTTTATATAGTTTTGTGGATTTTTGCAAATAGGTCTGAGAAATAAATTCTTAAATTAAGTAGGTTGAGATATAGAAATATTATAAGATACTGCTAAACATCACTATTTTACTTTTACTGAATTAGTTTAACTTTACCACTGTGAAAATGCTTATTTCATATGGTTAGCATTATTATGTGTTAAAATCTTTTTTCTTCTCATTGAAAATACACATAAAAATTAGTATTTACTCATGAGCCTTTGTTTGTGAATGTTTACTTGGGTTGCTTTTTCTCCATAATTTGTCCATATGTACAGTGAATATTCACTTTGTGTAACCATATAAAAGTTCTAAAATAGTTTGTAGTAGAATCTGTTCTGGAAAACAATTCAAATTTTGTAAATAAACTAGTAATCATTTTATATAAAATATTTTGTAGTTATTGATATATTTGTTTCTTTGAGAGTTAGAAATTAATTTTTCATGTTATATATCTAATATATATATAATAGTGTTGATAAATAAAAGGGCAAATGAGTGGCTTGCCTTTTTCACTATCCTCAATCTAAGAAATACATGCTTTGTCATTTAAGTAGAAATCTAAAATATATGACTTGTTTTGAGGTCTTGTGTTTAGTCATGGACTAAAAGTCTCTTTACTCAGTGTTAAACCTTTCTTCTGTTAAGATACATAGGTCACCATATTGTTAACTGTTATGAGCTGTCGAGTTGCCTGCAACCCGTAGAGACCCTACGTATAGCAGCTCTGAGTCCTGCCCTGTCCTGAGCCAGGTCACCATATTAGTTGTTACTTAAAAACAAAACACAGAAATATCTCTATTTTTAAGTGAAGTATTTTATTTGCCTAAATTAATTTTCTTGGAAATTTCTTTTTCTTTCTTCCGTACCAGGGATGCTTTTTTCTTTCCTCATGTCTTCAAATAATTTTCTTTTTCTCTGAAAAAAATAATTCAGATTTTGCAAATTGTATGTGGAATGCAGGCTTGCCAAGATTTTTCTATTTATAAATTGTCTAGATGCTTCAGAATCCATCTGAGTTTGCACAGTCAGTAAAGTCCTTGCTTGAAGCACAGAAGCAGTCTATTGAATCTGGCTCCATAGCTGGCGGTGAGCACCTCTGTTTCATGGGCAGTGGCAGGGAGGAGGAAGACATGTACATGAATATGGTTCTGGCACACTTTTTACAGGTATGTTTATGTAAATTGTTTCACTCATAATCACTTCTAAGAAATTATAGAAAGTTTGTGGTTTAATGTTCATTGTCACATTAAACTGTATTTTCCTTTACATTTGGATTTTGTGTATTGCGAAAAAAGATTTCTTTGCCTAAATTTTTCTCACATGCTGTCTTCAGGTGCTTACATGGTTTCAGTTTAAATCTTGAACCATCTGGAACTTATTTTGGTGTTAGAAGTGAGGTAAGAGTACAAAAAAGAATTAGCTTTTCCAGAGAAAAATCCATTAATTTCATATGCCATCTTTGTATTATTTTTCTTTATATACCAGGATCCATATCTTGATTTTTCGGTTGCATTGATTTTTATGTGTATCCTCTTCCTAGTATTATTTATAGTAGGCATTTAAGGAGCCCTGGTGGCAAAACGTGTAACAGTAGGCTGCCAACTACAGTGTCAACAGTTCACCCTGTGGGAGAAAGATGAACAGTCTCTTCCCATAAAAATTTACAGACTTGGAAACCTGATGGCTGTGAGCTGTGGTGACTTACGTAGTAAGTTGGGAGGTAACTCTGCTAACTCAAAGGCAGCACCTCATTGGTGGCTCAAATATACCAATGGCTCCAAAGGAGAAAACTGAGCAGTCTTCTCTCTTGTGTTATACAATCTATCAAAAACCTACTGGAGAGTCAGCTAGGAGTCACTTTGGACTTGTCAGCGAAGAATATAGTTGAGTTAGATAATATGTATGTGGACATGCTATCAGAAGGGGTTCACAGAGTTTTCAAAGGCCTGTGGTGTTCTCTCCAACACTACACACTGCCAATTTAGTTTTCAACTCTAATAACAAATTAGTCTTCACACCACTGTCTTTGAAATCAAAACAGTCTACCTTCCTGAATCCAACTGCCTTATACCAAGATTCTTGTAACTGCTTCAGACAGAGATAGTCTTGCCACTGAACTGATAGACAACATCATGATAGATGGTGAAGAGATTGAAACTATCAACAATTTAATCTTGGTTGGATCCTCAACATGCTTGGTACGCTCGTACCAAGGAAATAAGGAGACACATTGCACTGTGATAAGTCTGCAATTAGGGACCTCTCCAAATTATTGAGGAGTAATGATGTCACTATGAGGACTAAGGTGTGTCTGATTCAGACCATGGTCTTTCTGATCACTTGGTATGCATCTGAGAGCTGGATAATAAATAGGGGGGGAGACAAGAATGATTAGACTTCATTTCATTTACTTTGAACATGTTGTGAGGAAGGGCTGTTCCTCAGAGAAGGACATGATGCTTGGAAAGGTGGAGGGTCAGCAAAGGAGAGGAAGACTGTCGACCAGATGGACTGACATGGTGACTACCTCTGGGCTCTAGTGTATCAGGAAGTGTGAAGATGGCATAGAATAGGACAGGGTTTGGATTTTTGTTAATAGAATCACTCTGAGTCATTCTCGACGGCACCTAACACAAACAGCAGTCAGAAGAGGACATAATGTTTGGTAAAATAGAGTTGTCTGTAAAAAGGAAAGACACTCGGTGAGTAGATTTAACACAGTAGCTACAACAGTGGGCTTAAATATTTCCACAATTGTGAGACTTATATAGGACCAGGCAGTGTTTTGTTGTATTGTATGTAGGGTCACCATGTGTTGAAACCAACTCTGTGGCACCTAACAAAAACTTAGATTCATATTCATACTCATTCTGTTGTTTCTGTGCTGAAATTAAAAAAATATATATATATACACACTTTGTTTATTCATGACATTTATACACCTTTCATTTTTGTATTTGAGTATGCAACCTGTCCCACCTGCCTTCTTATAGAGCCTTACTCAGTGATAGCTTAATGTATAAATAATTGTTGAATTGGTTTCCTTTGGTAGTTTATATATATATTTAATTTCTCAATATATGTGATCTGTGTTTCATTGATTATGCAAAGGCATTTGACTGCGTGGATCATAATAAACTGTGGCTGACTCTGAGAAGAATGGGAATCCCAGAACATTTGATCGTTCTAATGCGAAACTTATACTTGGACCAGGAGGCAGTCGTCAGAACAGAGCAGGGGAACACTGCATGGTTCAAAATTGGGAAGGGCGTACGCCGGGGATGTGTCCTGTCTCCATACCTTTTTGACCTGTATGCAGAGCAGATTATATGAGAGGCTGGGCTCTATGAGGAGAAGCATGGCGTTAGGATTGGTGGAAGATCTATCAACAATCTGCGTTATGCAGATGACACAACCCTGCTCGCTGAAACTGAGGAGGACCTCATGCACTTACTGCAGAGGGTCAAGGACTGCAGCCTTCAATATGGACTGAGGCTCAATGTTAAGAAGACAAAAATTCTCACCACTGGACCAATTGGTAGCATCAGGATGGATGGTGAAGAGATTGAGATTGTTCACAGCTTCAATTTACTCTTGGCACCAGTAGCCAGGAAATAAAAAAACGTATTGCGATGGTAAAGTCTGCAGTTAGGGACCTCTCTAAAGTACTCAAGAGCAACGGTGTCTCCCTGGAGACTAAGATGCGCCTGATACAGGCCATGGTTTTTGCAATCATTTGTTATGCATCAGAGAGTTGGACAATGACTAGGGAGGCTAGAAGGAGAATTGACGCCTTTGAGCTGTGATGCTGGAGAAGAGTATTGAATGTCCCATGGACTGCCAAGAAAACAAACAGATTCATCCTAGAGAGGGTTAAAGCAGGCTGCTCCTTGGAGGCAAGGATTCTGGGTTTCTGCCTGACATACTTTGGATATGTTGTAAGGAGAGACAGGTCTTTAGAGAGGGACGTCATGCTGGGTTGAGTGGAGGGACAGCGTAGGAGGGGAAGCCCTTCTATGAGGTGGACTGATTCAGTGACTGGGGTAATCGGGATGGGTATGTCAGAAGCAATGAGATTGGCACAGGATAGAACAGGGTTTAGGGCTGTTGTACATAGGGTCGCTATGAGTTGCAAACAACTCGACGGCACATAACAACAACAACAATATGTGATCTTGAGGTCAGCAGACATAATGTTACATAAACTACTCAACTTGGATTCTTTTTTTATTATCTTTTACTGTGACTCTGATTTGAGAAAATGCTTGTAAACATCAGTATTCCTGAAGGAACAAAATCAAGATATTTTGATTGAGAAATTGTAAGATAATTTTAAACCTTGTTGAAGGAAAGATCTTAGAAACTATTGAGGATAACTAAAATAGGCAATCATTTTTACTCATACATTTAGCTGGCCTGTTCTAAAAAATAAATTTTGGAGGAAGTACAACTTCCTGATCCTTAGAGGCAAGGATGATGAAACTTCATCTCATCTCATTTTGGGAATATTTCAGGAGAGGTCAGTCCTTGTAATAGTACATCTTACTGGAAAAGGTGTTGGGTAGGAGAAAGAGAATATGGTTTTTAAGGAAATGGAGAGACACGGTGACTGTAACAATGGACTTGAGCAAGTCAGAGATGGTGAGGATGGTGAAGGTTAGGGCAAGGTTCACATCTGTTGGTCTTAGGGTCACTTATGAATCATAGTGATGACATACTTGATGAATCATACTTGATGACAGTTACAACAATTCTAAAAAATGGATGCTCTCTCTGGTTGCCTAGTCCTTAAGGAGTTGTGCTGCTGACCTAAAGGTTCGAATTCACCAGTAGATCTTGAGAGACAGTTGAACAGTCTTCGTACTACTTATGGCCTCAGAATCCTGCTGGAGGGTCAGCTTTGAGTTCCAACTTGATTCCAATGAGATAATGAGCAAGATTCTGAAAGTGCTGTTGTGGTCTGAGCATATTATGGGATGAACTAGTACTTCAAGACTTTGAAATACTGTGCACTTTTTTTTAAGATCTAATTTCTTGATGTGGTTTCAGAGAGTTTATTTTCTAGTTTTTATCATGGAAAATTTTAAATAAATTGATAAGTAGAATTAAATCACATTGTCATTATTATACTTTATTATGAAAAGTCCAGCTAGTTTCCTATAGTTACAAAATGGTAACATGCTCTCATTTCTTCATGTATTAGCAAGGGTATTTCTGTAAGAAAGCACAGAATTTTGAAAGTTTGTGAAACCGCTCTTATTTCTACCCCAAAAAAATACTCTTTAAATTATTTTGATTATTTACTGTACTACTTGAGATTATAATAAAGTTATGATTGCATATTGTGTTAAATCAGGAAGTTGTACCAATGCACCAGGCCCTATTCTATACAAACTGCCATATTTCAAAATGTTAAGGCTGGAGGAAGTCCAGAAAATTGAATATGTAACTAGATATTGTAATTATGAATGTTTATAGAATTATCAGTAATTTTAATTAAATTACATCTTGAGTTAATTTAAATTTTATTTTTCCATTGCAGAAAAACAAAGAGTATGTGAGCATTGCCAGTGGAGGATTTATGGGTAAGATTTTACTTTGCACCACTCCTTTCCAGAGAAATTTATGTTGATTTTTCAGTAAAGCTTACTGGAATAGCCAAATTAGTTAATGGATAAAACTTTGTTAACTTCTGTAGTTCAGTATTTCTAGAAAAATTAGGGCCAGCAGAATATACAGATTTGTGCCGTATAACATTCATTTAAACAGTGGCTCAGTTATGTATTGAGCTGTTTTCCACAAAAATATCTTTCAATATTGACAATAACAAAACTAAAGGAAGAAATAAAAGTAGATGCTAAGGCTATGTATGTGTAATCAAACCTCATTGGCATTAGCTCCTGGGTTTGGAGATTTCATGTAATATCTTAGCTAATTGGTTTAATAATATGATTAATGCTTCTGTTTTACATTGTTTGTTTGCAGTGCCTGCTGTCTTAAAAGCTTTCTTGTTACATTATTATTAAATACCATATAGTTGTAACTTACCCACAGGTTTTTAGAGGCAGTAACTTGTATGAGAGAAGGTTGCCCAGCTTTCTCCCATGAAGCAGCTGATGGATTTGAACAACATGCCTTACGGTTGGCAGTGCAACACTGTCTTCTAAGCCACCAGAGCTTGCTAATGGTCATCAAAGACAAAAACAATAGTTGACTTCTGTTCTCCTAGAGTGATAAAGCAAAGATAGTTCAGAATAGAAGAAGAAATGAAATACATAACTAATTATTTCTGTGAACAACAGCTTCTTGCCATGTGACCAGAAGAACTAGATGATGCCTAGTGATTATAGTTTCATGAAAGATTTGATAGAAAATTCCTTACCAAAAAAGTTAAAATGGAAAAAAAAAAAGAATTTTAATTCTCCTGGACTTTGGTCAGACTTTCTGGAACTCGTAAGGCTGGATGGACCCATGAAACTATTGTCCTAGATGAGCATGCCCTGGTGTTCTCTTAAAACTAAGTAAAAGTTTAAATTAACTGTTGAGAAATACTTGCCTTAAGCATTACACTCTTTTGAGAAAATCTATGAGGTCAGAGGAACAACAAAAAAATTAGATGGAAACCTTGGGAAACAGTGAGTGTATATTAATGAGGAAAGAACAACTTGAAAAATGTGAGCATAATTGCGTAGAATGTAAGCATTGTTACTCTACATGTCAAAAATGGTTGGATTGGTATTTATTTTGCTTTGTTAATCCTCAAAAAGTATATGTCAACCTGACTAAGACATGATTCTTAGTATTAAGCAAATATCTTTCATTTTGTGATCTGTGATTTGGTGTTGTAAATCCAGATCTCTGTGCTATATTAGGCAGGATTTGTGGCAGTTAAGCTATTGAGGCAGAATACAATCCAATGAATTAGTTGAATTTTGAGTCAGTGTCTTCTGAAATATGAAGGAGATTAAACATATAAGCAGGTTAGAGGGACCTACTATCACAAAGGAATGAGTCAAGAGTAGGGCAGATCCTTTGGCCCCAGGGTTACTACATGGGTAACCTCCTAGCAGCAGGAGACAGAGAAAGTTTTCTCTGAGACAAAGATGACACTCTGGATTCAGACTTCTAGCATCCTAAACTGTGGGAAAATAAAAAAGTCATCCACTTGGCATATTTTTTCTACAACATTAGATAACTCTGGGGAGGATTTTACTAACGTTCAGAAATCCGGATCCAGTAATAGAACATAGTAGATACAACTGGATTTAGTGGGGGAAAAAAACCTGCTTCCTACATGCATATGAATATCTTGAATGAAATTGAGTGTATGGCTTTGAGCTGTGGTGTTGAGAGCACTGAACATCCCATGGACGGACAGGAGAATTAACAGGTATGTCTTGGAGATGGTGCAGCCGGAATGCTCTTTGGAGGCAAGAATGATGAGGCTTTGCCTCATATACTTTGGACATACCGCTAGGAGGTGCTATTCCTTGGAGAGGGACATGATGTTGGGAAGGGAGGAGGGTAGGAAAAGGAGAGGAAGACCCTCAACCAGGTAGATTGACAGGGTGACTGCTGCAATGGGATCTTGTGTGTCTGGAAGTGTGAGGATGGTGCAGGACAGGACTGAGTTCATATCTGTTGTTCATAGACTCACTATGAGTCCTACTCAACTCGATGGCGCCTAACAACAACAGTAACAACTGTATAAATAACCTATCACACACACACACACACACACACACACACACACACGTACTTGGGAATCACAATAAACATATCTGTGTTTTACTGGTTTATTTGTATTGTTATTTTAATATGAACTTTCCTGACTTAGAAATAACAAGTTTACTGTACATCAGTGTTTGCTTAAACTATTTGGCAACAGCATCCAGTCTCATGTATGTGTTCTCTTAAATAATACATCTGTTTTTATTTTCTTTCAAAAGTATTACTTTAGAAAGTGCATCCTTGCTCTCAACTGCAACAGAAATGATGCTAGTAACACCAGCAGAAAGCAAAGGAGAAAGACCAATTAGAAAGTGAAACGAAACATAAGGCTGTTAACACAAAGGTGGAAAAATCAGTGAATGCTGTCTGTTGCTCATGATTTAGGCATGTTTGCACAATATCCAAATTATATAACATCCTACTTCACAGAGCACATCGTAAAAGTTACTTGCTGCAGGATGTATAGATACCAGCATAACTAATATCTGACTGGTGACAGACTATTTAAATAGATGTCTTCAATTTGCTTATAGTTGCAGGGGGGAAAATCTGTAAAATTGCTTGAAAACTTGCTGATATTTGCTTTTTATAGAGAAGAAGATTAAATGGGACTGGCAAACAAGAGTAGTACAAATACTTTCATGGTACACCTTATATACTATTTAGGTTTTTTATCTTTATATTTCATTGTACTTTGAAAATGAAATACATTTTATAAACTGAGTGAAGGAATTTCTACTAAAAATGTTGATTGATGAAATAAGTTGATTCTTTGAAATCTGAAGACCAATATCTGGTAATCCTTGGTGTTTTTAAAATTGTCACAAGCTCTGTAGCCAAGTATTTGAGAGTTTCTAAAAGATTAGCTCAGTATCGTGGGGGGTGGGGGAACACCAAAAAACAACCCACATTGTGCAAAACTGAATGTCCTTTTTGGAAAAAATTAATGATAAAATCTAATGAAAGCTATCTTGAAAATAGCAAAAGCTTTTTCTCTTGGAAGGCTTTTAAGTGGTAATAAATACTGGCCCTTCCCTCAATATTTTTAGTTATTTGTTAGTAATTTGTAAATAATTTGTTAGTAATTCTGTTTACATACATGATAGAAAACGTGGTTGTTAAATTTGTGTTCAAAGGTATCTCAAAAGCTTTCTTTTATAATACAGTCTGCTGAGCCTCCAACAGATTTTCAGAGGCAGTCAGGAGAGTGCCTGTCTTTCTCCTGCAGAGCAGCTGATGGATTAGAACTGTGTGCTTTTGAGTTTGCAACAAAGCACTTTACAGCAGGGCCACCAAGCCTTCTCATCTAGCTTAAGTTTTAGGAAGTTTATTTTAACTTACAATCATTTTCTGTTCTTTTAAAAATCCGTTTACTTTTACCAAGCTTGGCTTCTTTTCATAGCAGTTTATGCCTACAGTTGCTGCTTTACTATGGGAGACAATTAAAAATGTCCCTTCAGTGCTCACTTCGGCAGCACATATACTAAAATTGGAACGACACAGAGAAGATTAGCATGGCTCCTGCACAAGGATGACACGCAAATTTGTGAAGCATTCCATATTTTCGACCCTGAAATTAATCAGTCTGTAACGAAGGCTAACTCCTTTCACCTACAAATTTCGTCTTTGGATACAAAGCTAAGTGGATAGTCCTTACGGAGAGACTGTTTAAAAAGAGGCAGCGAAAAGAAAAGAAAAAAAAATGTCCCTTCAATTGCCAGTACCTTTCAGAGGAGAAGATAGTGAACATATAGGAGAAGATAGTGAACATATATAGCTAGTTTTATGTAACTGTACTTACTCTTAAGACCATTCAAGTGTCTCTGTTGGTCCCTGGTCTGTGCACATGGTTAAAACCGTTGACTACTGGTGGAAAGTGAAGTTTGAACCTCCTCACAGATGACTAGAAAGCCATGCCTTGAAAATCTTACTCAGAGAAGTTCTGCTCTGCACACAGACTTGGCCATGAGTCAGAACTAACTCCACACCAGCTGACAGCCAGCCATAATAACAAGTGGTCAGTGTAGAGAAGGGAGGAAGAAATGAAAGAGGAAAACTTTCTGTAGCCTTGACTTTTAAATCTTTGCAAAGGCACAGAATGAAATACCTATGATTAATCTGCTTGGATCTTTTATCACTCAGCTATAACATGTTTATTATATTTCTCTGGTAATAAAGATTTTCAAAGGGAGTTAATATTTCAGGTTTTTGTTGTGTTTTTGTTTTTTTTTTTTCCTTGTCCACCTTAAGCACTGCAGCAGCATTTGGCAGATATTAATGTGGATGGACCAGAAAATGGATATGGTCATTGGATTGCAAGTACCTCAGGCTCAAGGAGCAGTATTAATTCTTCTGTTGATGTAAGTGTTTGTGTAGACAATGTGACCAGATTTGGATAATTGTCAAAAAATGGTGATTAACTATTAAACATGTCACCATAGCAGAGAAGGATTAAAATATTTCCAAAGCATTCAGTGAGGAGTCATATAATGTGAGTTTTATGAAATGATCAGCCAGCTTACACAGCTGTGGCCAGGTGTTCTAGAAGTCTAGCCATTGGGTTCAGATTTCTCCCTGTTAATCTGTAGTGTAGTATACAATCATATAGTGATAGTTTTATAATGCAGTTTAAATATCAGTGTTTGCCATTCTGGGTCCTGTAACTTGTGGGATTCTTAAGTGAACGTATGCCAAGAATTTCTCATGTAGTTAAACCAGGAAAAATTTGGGGTTCATGGTCTCTTCCCTTGCTTACTATGTCTATAGTCCTCTCCACAACAAACTTCAATGATTAGAACTTTGGTCAACCCACATTCATACCTGATTTTGAGTTACTGAAATGTTGTAGGAGTTTGTTGATTCATGTTTTTGTTCTATTTTGGAAATATTTGGATTATGAATGTTGTCTGCATTGCCAGTCTTTCAAGTCAGGTGAATTAGATGTCATTAAATCAAATTCTTAACACATAATAGGCTTCATCTATTTAATAATTCACTTTTACAACCAAAATAGAAGTAAAACTACATTACAGGATTGTTTTTATGATCATTGGATTAGAGATCTAGTAGGCCTAGGTTCATCTTTTCGTCTCTAAAATGTATTGTTGTCATGATAACCAACAAGGTCTTCCAGCTTTGGCTCTTTCAACTAAGCAAAAAAGATCATAATAATAGAACCTTCTTCATAAAGATAAATAACCAAATTCATTGTCATTGAGTCAGCTCTAATTCCTAATGACCATCCAGCAAGTTTCCAGGGCTGTGAATCTTTACACAAGGAGACTTGCTGAAATCTTTCTTCTGAGGAGCTGCTAATGGATTCCAGCTGCTTACATACTGTGCCACCAGAGCCTCCATCATAAGGACGATGAGAGGATTCATGTACATGTAAAGCCATAGTACTTGTCATATATATATATATTATAGTAATTAAAAAATTACAATTCACTAGATGTATTGATTAAAACTAATTTACAACCAAGTCAATTAAAGCAAGTTATAGCCAACTCATAAGCAAATAGGTTTTTTTGAGAATTTTGTCTTCAACCCAGTCCTCTAGGTTTCTGCTCTTTCTTTATGTGAAAATGCCATTTCCTTTTTAATAAATAATATTCTACCGTGTTACTGTACTGGGAGATCGTTTATTCAGTTAGCCCTTTGTTAATGTTGCTTACAGTCCAATTTTTATAGTAATGTTTTCAAGGATTGATTATTATGTCCTAAAAGTGAAATAATTTAAAGTCTTTTTCCATCAAATAATACCTAAATCTTTGTTCACTGACTGTTTCCTTATCATAATTTGGAAGAGGACATCATAGGCAAAATATAGGAATATTTTTAGACTACTTAAATCTTTGAAGGAACTGCCCTCTCAGATAATATGTGAGCAATCCCACAAGCAAGTTAAACTCATATCTATTGGAACATCTCAGTAACTTCAGAAATCAAAAACCTAAATGAGAATGTTTTTAAAAGCAAAAGTATACAAAGGGTAAAAATATTTGAAAATTTAATTATATGAATGATTATACATTTGTTTACTTTTGTAGTCTAACCTGATTTAAGAAGGGTCCATAACTTTATTCAGAGCAGAATAGAATTTCAGACTTGACACAAGTATGTATGTACAATATATATACTTAATTATATTTTCTACACTTCAGTCTTAAAATAGTCTCATCTATTTTTAAAGCAGTTATTCCATCACTAAGTTCTTTCTTTCAGGGTGAATCTTCTAATGGCTCTGGTGATAGAGGAATGAAATCACTAGTAAATAAAATGACTGTTGCTTTGAAGACGAAGTCTGTTAATGTCAAGGAAAAAGTTATCAGTTTCATTGAGAATACTTCAACTCCTGTGGACCGGTGAGTTGCTTATATGATACAACTTTATGATGAATAATTAATACCAAAGAAAAACATCTTGCAGTAAATAGTTGAATTAAATGTGTTGCAGAAGAGGTTAAAAAAGTGCATTTTTTTTTTTACTAAATTATTTTAAAGATTTCATTGGGATTGCAGAGATATGCTTTTTGTAATATTTGGCACACAAAATTCTCTCTTCTCTCCCACTGCTCGAATAATAGATAATGACTCTGCTTTGAGCACCAGTAATTTTAAAAAATTTTCAATTGCCAACTATATGTACTCTGTTTCACAAAGTATTTGCTTTCTAATTGTCAAATAAAGAATCATCTACTAAATTTAATACCTCATAGGAAGAACTTCCTGTGTACCATGAATTTAAATTTAGTCATGTTAAATAAATCAGAACTCAACTTTCTTATGAGCTAAGCTCTTCACAGAATTTTGTTCCTAGAATATAAGCAAACATTGTTTTCCAGTAAATTACAAGTGAAAGACACAACTAAAAACTACTAAGAAAGCCAAAAATATCATTTAATACTGTTTTTTTTACTGGACTGGATATATAATGTTTCTTGTTTTCCTCAGTATATTAGTCTAGGGAACTCTAGTGGCCTAATGCGTATGGAATTTCACTTCTGACTGAGAGAGGTGGTTCGAATTAGTCAGCTGTCTCACAGGAGAAAAATGGGCAGTCTCCTCTTGTACAATTTACAGACTCTAAAAACCCACTGCTGGGTCAGCTGTTGTTTTTGGTTTTTCTAAATATACTAGGTTTTTTGACCTTAGATGTTCCTAGAGTTCACAGCTAACTCTATGATTCAAACATGAAGAACTTTTTTTAAAGCAAGCTTATTTTGAAAGTATGCTTGTACTATTTAATCTCATTTGTGCCTCACAGTGCTGTAAGAAAGAGGAAATATTTTACTTTAAAAACCAAATTAATATCAGAAATTTGCTGTTTGTCACTCTAGTGCTTATATTACATGTGCATACAAAAGTACTTCCCCCCCATTTAGCAAATACACAATTTTGACAATAGATCATTTTCACTAAGTTATAAAATTTTATTTAAAATATGCAGTAATAAAATACTTGCATTTTATCAAGCCTGAAAGATTTATTTGCTCTTAAAACTCTACCTCTTTTAGTTTTAGTTAAGTGACCTTTAAATTGGAATGCTATTATAGCTACTGTTTTATCCATGCATATTTAAATTTTTATTTTAAAATTCACTTTAAAAAGATTCTGGTGATACAGAACTGAATTCAGTTAAGTAATCACTTGAATCTAGCTTTTCTTCATTTTTTTTTTGTACTTGGGATAATTGAAACATTCTCTTTTAAAATGTGCATTCTGGGTTGGAAAAACTGATAAACATTTTTAAAAAATACTGTTTAATTTTTCATAATCATTTTATTCTGTCCTTTACCTTAATTTGCTATAGAATATCTTTCAGTCTTCCTTGGCCAGACAGAACATGTACAGAGCGGTAAGCCAATGAGTAGAACAGCTCTATCGAACCATCCTGTTTCCTTAGCATGTCTCATACTGTCTATAAACCTTATGCTGGCCTGGCTAAATGTCATGCATCTCTTCCAAATGCTAAACTTTCCTTATTCTGCTGTTAGAAATGTATGATGCTGATGTGTCATCTCTTTGTTCTTTTTGGTTTTTGGGTTAGTCTGTTGTGTTGGGGGTTTTTTTGCATGATTATTATCTCTCCCATGTCACAGATGAAAATCAAGTTAATTGAAACCCAACAACTTCACAAAACCTACAGTTTTCATTTTAGAGTAGGGGAAGTTGAAACAAAGTCTGTAATCTCAGAGTTGTCAGAGTCTTAACTTTGGAGATCCTTTACTCCCATCTACTGTCGCTACCAGTAAGATAGGCACACCTGAAAGAAAAAAGAATACAGTTCATGGTTCAAAGTTTTAATTTATACACCTTATGTAATTTTATAATTTTTAATGTTTTCCCCAGTTTATTTAATATTTAGATTGTTGCAGCTACACAAAAAGGATTGGTTCTACATTTGGTTTTCCTTGAAAAAAAAAACTGGCCCACGGAATATATGTTTTATATATACTCTGTCTCTCTCATTAGTATGACATTGAGACATGTGGTGATTTCAGTAAAAAACAGAAAGTTTCTTTGAATTTAAAGTTTAAAAACCTATTCGAAAAAAAACCAACCTATTCGACGGCATATAAAAACAGTATATTATATTGGTTGTTTTTTATTTAAGCCTCTTGCAGAATCTACAAGACCTCATGAAGAGCCTTTTTATTTAAAAGTCGGTTGTTGTTATATTTTGAAGGAATATTCTCCTAAGTGGTACAGCACTCTTCTGTTAATTTGCTGTACTGAGGTAACGTGGGGTTTCTGTGATGCTGAACCTTGTGCAATTGGGGTGTCAAATGCCATAATGGTTACCCATCATGGACAGTGTTTGGTGAAATTCCCAGTTTAATATAGGTTTGGAAGCATGATTGGCATCCACTTCCTAAACAACATGCTTCTGGAAACTCTATGAAATTTGAGAAACAATAGTTATAGAAAGGCTTTCAGGTCTTTTGTTCTTAGGGTTGCTATGAGTCATGCTTGACTCGATGGCAATTAACAATAGAAACAACAACCAACTCTACAATTAAGATGAGCAAAAGAACTTTACTGAATTCTATATGGTTTTATACTTTTTTACTAAGAATTTTTCTAAAATTTAAACTAGAGTATCACTTGTACAAACATTTATGAGTAGGTAAAATGAAATACTAGTTTAACTAAGTTCAGCTTTGAAATAATAGAATCACCTTTTCAGTAGGTCATTCATTATTTTTAGTGTCTAGATGTAGCATTTTTTAAAAAGTTTGCCATCCAAAAAAAATAACCTTACCTAGTAAAAGAATTTACTATGACCATACCTGCACTTATACTTCTTTTAAATAATAATAGAATAAATAACTAATTTTATAAACAGTTGTCAGTTATTGTTCTACTTTTCTTGTTTTAGAATTAATCTAATTCTATTCCATTCTTGTGTTCTCGAGGATAAAATTTTGTTGTATTAAAATTAATTCAGTTCTTTCTGAGCTCAATAACTTAAAATCTGCAAAGTCTTTTGGAGCTCTGGTAGCCTGCTGATAATATGAATCTGCACTGCAATCACAGAGGCACTGGATTTGAACCCACCAACTAACTGCTCTAAGGGAGAAGGATAGGCATTCTCTTCCTGTGCAGTTAACTACCTCTGAAAACCTGTTGGAGGATCAGCTATGAGTTGGTTCAGACTCAGTTGCATACAAGAAGATTATTTTTCTTTTACTGCTTTTTTTGTGGCTGAAAAAGTCATAAGTACTATTACTTTAAAAAAAAAATCCAACCATTGTATTTCATTCATTTTCACCTGATCTGTTACAAGCTGTCTCTGATCTTTAGCATTCTAGTTTATGAAAATTTGTGTAATAAATTCAGATAACTTATGAATAACTTAAATTTTTAGATTTTTTGCTTTAATAAACTTTATGATTCAGAAGTTTAATAGGTGAGTTCTGGCGGCCTAGTGGCAAAAAGTTGCAGTGCAATCCCAGAGATGCACAGTTTGAATCCACCACATGCTCTGCTGAAGAGGAAGGGATGATCTCCTGTACCAGTCAGATCTGACAGTACACAAACAAAAAAATTTTAAAACAAAAATTTAAAAGAAAGACATTTAATATACATATTCTTGTTACTTTCTATATCAGAGCAATTTGTTTTAATATTACGGAAGAACCAATAACTAGACCTTCCAGAATTCCATAATCTGGATAGCACTAAAACATTTTTTAGATAAATTTATTACATTAGTCTTTGGGCTTTTTATCATTTTTTTAAAAAATTATAATTTGACTTTCAAAAGTATTTGAGTTACCTCTCTTCTTTTGCTTTCTCATCATGTTGTTGTTTGCCATCAAGTCTCCTGTGACTCATAGTGACTCTATGTACAACAGCCCTAAAATCTGCTCTATCCTGTGCCAATCTTATTGTCTCTGGTACACCAACCCCTGATACCCCAGTCACTGAATCAATCCATCTCATCAACAGTCTTCTTCTCCAGCGCTGTCTCTCAACCCTCCCAAGCATGACATCCCTCTCCAAGGACTGATACTGCCTTGCAACATGTCCAAAGTATGTCAGACGAAGCTTCAGAATCCTTGCCTCCAAGGAGCCACCCGGCTTCACCCTCTCCAGGATGAACTCGTTTGTTCCCCTAGCAGTTCATGATAGATTCAACACTCTTCTCCAGCACCACAGCTCAAAGGCATCAGTTCTCCTTCTATCCTCCCTAGACATTGATCAGCTTTCCGATGCATAGAAACTAATTGCAAAGACCATGGCCTGTATCAGGCGCACTCTAGTCTCCAGACTGACATCGTTCCTCATCATAGTTTGATAATTTATATCACATTTTCACTTTAAGATGTTTTAACCAAAATTTTTTTTATCTTACACCTTATACTATTTATAGCCTAATTTGTACATCTCAAACAATACCTGTTTTGTACTAAAGTCACATCAATTTTTTTAGTAGAAATGAAGCTGGAGATAGGATGATAGAATTTTGCACAATCTCAGCAATTTATTTGTTGCATATACATTTTACAAGAAACAAACACAGGATATACACATGGATTTCACCTGATGCATAGGAATCAGATAGATTACATTTGTGGAAAGAACAACTGGAGTAACTTAGTATCAGCTGTGAAAACTAGCCCTGGTGCTGATTGTGGAACAGACTACCAACTACTCATATGCAAGTTTAAGCTAAAGCTAAGGAAGGTGAACTCAAGCCCACAGGAACCAAAATATGACCTTGAGTCTATCCCACCTGAAATTCAGAACCATCTCGGGAACAGATTTGAGGCCTTGAACACTAATGAACGAAGAGCGGATGGGAAAATATCAAGAATATGATCCAGGAAGAGTGCAAAAGTCATTACAAAGATGGAGGAGGAAGAAAAGACCAAAATGGATGTCAGAAGAGACTCTGCACTGGAGTGCCAAGAAACCAAAGCAGAAGGAAGAAATCAAGACAGGAGATTTCAAAAAGCTGCATGGCAAGACAAAGTAAAGTATTTTAATGAAATGTGCAAAGAGCTAGAGTCAGAAAATCAGAGGCTGAACTCACTCAGCATTTCTTAAGCTCAAGGAACTGAAGAGGAAATTCAAGCCTCAAGTTATAATACTTAAGGATGCTTTGGGCAGAATATTGAGTGATCCTGCAAGTATTAAAAGAAGATGGAAAGAGTATACAGAGTCATTATACCACAGACATGGAAGAATTTAATGAAACAACATATGAGCACGAGCCTATGGTGATGAAGGAGGAAGTTCAGACTGCTTTGAAAGAATTAGCTAAAAATAAGGCCCCCCAGAAATTGATGGTATACCACTTGACATATTTCAGCTAACAGATGCTGCCCAAGATGTGCTCACCAAGTTGTACCAAGAAATCTGGAGAACACCCACTTGGGCAACTGACTCAAAGAGATCTATGTTTATTCCTGTTCCAAAGAAAGATGATCCCACAGAGTTTGGAAATTATTGAACAATATTATTAATATCTCATGCAAGCAAGATTTTGCTGAAGATTATCCAAAAACGACTGGAACAACACATTAACAGAGAACTACCAGAAGTGCAGACTGGGTGTAGATGGGACCGTGGTACTAGGGATATTGTAGCTAATGTTAGATGGATCTTGGCTGAAAGCAAGAATGCCAGAAGAATGTCTTTCTTTGTTTCATTCCTTGCACAAAGGCATTTGACTGTGTGGATCATAACAAACTGTTAGGATCTAACTATTATGAGGCTAACTCTGAGAAGAATGGGAGTCCCAGAACACTTGAATGTGCTAATGTGAAACCTATACTTGGACCAGGAGGCAGTCGTCAGAACAGAGCAAGTAAACACTGCAAGGTTCAAAATTGGGAACGGTGTATGCCAGGGCTGTATCCTGTCTCCTTACCTTTTCAATCTTTATGCAGAACAGATTATCCTGGAGGCCGGGCTCTATGAGGAGAAATGTGGCTTCAGGATTGGAAGAAGAATCATCAACAATATGCGTTATACGGATGACACGACCCTGCTTGCTGAAACTGAGGAGGGCCTGAAACACTTGCTGTGGAAGGTCAGGGACTGCAGTCTTCAGTATGGTTTGTGGCTCAATATCAAGAAAAAAAAGATTCTCACCACTGGATCTGATTGGCATCATCATAATGGATGGTGAAGAAATTGAGATTGTTTTGGTTTGCTTGGTTCCACAGTCAACACTCTTGGCACCAGCAGTTAGGAAATGAAAAGATGTATTGCAATGGGAAAGTCTGTGGTTAGAGACCTCTCTAAAGTGCTGAAGTGCAAAGATGTCAGTCTGAAGACTAAGGTGCTCCTGATACACATGCAATCACTTGCTATGCTTCGGAGAGCTAGACAATGACTAGGGATGATAGACGGAGAATTTATGCCTTTGAGCTGTGGGGTTGGAGAAGCGTATTGAATATTCCATGGACTGCTAGGAAAACAAACAGGTTTGTCCTGGAGAGGCTGAGGCCAGGCTGCTCCTTGGAGGCAAGGATTCTGATGCTTCGTCTGACATACTTTGGACATGTTGCAAGGAGGGACCAGTCCTTGGAGAGGGACGTCATGCTTGGGAGAGTGGAAGAACAGCACAGGAGAGGAAGACCCTCGATGAGATGGATTGATTCAGTGACTGGGGTAATGGGGGTAGGTGTGTCGGAGATGGTGAGATTGGCACAGGATAGAGCAGAGTTTAGGGCTGTTGTACATAGGGTCGCTATGAGTCGCAGGCGACTCAACGGCGCATAACAACATTCTGATCAAGGAAAGAGTAGTTGTTGTGGGCTTTTTTTGTCAAGATTTTGCCACTTGATATATGTAAAAGTACCAAGCACTTTAAAATATAGATTTCATTTTTGTCGTTAAAAAAATAGAATTCTAAAGCTAAATAGAAACATTTTATTTACCACATTAGAATATCTGTTATAAAGATTCTGCATATCTTCATAAGTGATAGGTCTTCTGTCATAATAGGTAATCTTAACTGACCCTTCTTCAAATAATGTAATGCTTTTCTCTTAAAAATATGTAATATTCCATTGAAGTACTCATTTTTACTTCTTGATGTACTTAAGATGACCTGCAATATAGCCAGGTATAAACTGTTATATTTATCAGACAGAAATTACACGTCCTTTAAACCTAATCAAGTTTTATTAACCTGTTTGTTATGCTTTTTCCACATGAGAAGAAAGAATCCTTTGCCTGGTTTATTGCAAATAAGTATAAGCAAGTGAAGTAGAGTCTTCTTTTAGTTTTAAATGAAAGTAGTAGTAAAAACCTTAAGACATTTGGAGCTATATTGGAAGTTGTAAACACTCTCAAAATTTGGGTATTTAGTTCCTTAATATTTTGTCTAACAAATGTTTATGGCACAGTGCTGTATAATGAGCATGGCTCTAAGAGCTTTGCATATACTGGCTAATTTAGCCCTGTGGAATGAACATTGGTTATTCCTGTCTTTCACATGAAGAAGCAGAGGCACTGAGAGATTAATTAGCTTAAAGCTATACAGATCTAAGCACTCATTGACTTTCATATGAATATTGAAATTATTTATTATTTATAGATTTGTGATCATTCTGTGTATTAAGTCTTTGTGTCACTTTTGCTAGCATGATTTTTTTAGCATCTTTCAATTTCTTTAATGTTGTGATTCTAAAATGGTAGTTTACATTTGTTTGAATGGACAAATGATGCTTGATATACGTCTTTGATAACTTAAGTGACGATTTTCCTCCTGAAATTCTCTGAATTTAGACATGTCAGCAGCAGTGACAGAGTGGGCAAACCTTACCGTGGTGTGAAGCCTGTTTTCAGTATTGGGGATGAAGAAGAGTATGATACAGGTATAGCAGTTCACTTAACTACAGACTGCTTTCCTTATTCAGATTATAGAAATCCTTCTGAGATTAACCTAAAATTTCTTTAAAAGAATACAGTGAGGTTATTTAGGGAGTATTAAATGATTTATACTGTGCTGTTATATATTTGGTTTTAGACATAATATATGTCTGTTTAAAAATCTAAAGATCCCTGGGAGGTGCAAACAGTTTGCTCTCAGTTTCTTGTTGTGTACAGTCTAGTTGGAACTGACCCATAGCTGACCCTCTGATAGGTTTTCAGAGGCAGTTAATTTCATGAGAGGAGGACTACCTATCAGCTGGTGGGGATTCGAGCCACATGCCTTCGAGATTGCAGTGCAGCTTCTTGCCACTAGGCAACCAGTCGTCCCAACTACTGGCACTCAACTACTAGCTAAAAAATTGGCATTGGAAACCTAGTGACGCCATGAATGAAAAGTGTAATACATGAAGGCAAAGAACATTTACATTTGTTGGTAGACATCTTGTTGACTTATGTGATGATTTTCCCTCCCAAAATTCCCATCTCCTGCCCCCATAACATTGCATCCAAGAAAACCCTATGGATTTCAGTTTTACTCTGTAACACATGGCATTACTCCAAATTGGAATCCACTCAACCTCAGTGGGTTTGGATTTTTTTTTATTTCTTAGAACTCCAAGCAGAAATATTGAGTAGGCAATTAATAGATTTTCAATTGAAGAGAAAGGTCTCAGCTGGTGATAATTATCAATAAATAAATAGTATTTTAAGATAATGAGATTGGATTTACATTTCCTCAGTCCTCCCTGTTGGAGAGTAAAAGTGGGATGAAGTTCAGGAATTCCCAAAATTGAGACCCCTGAGAAAAGCCTTTTGAGACTGGAGACAATATCCCAAAGGGCCAGAAGGTGGAGACATCACACTTGTAGTAACTTTAAAATAAATCATGTATTACTGTGGTGCACAATCCTACCCCCACGTTACCCTAAGGATTAGTTAATCACAATAATATTAATATATGAATTGCATTAGGAAACAGTGAATTCTGGTGGTATAGTCGGTAGGGAATTGCACTGCTAATCCTGAAGAGCATGCCTCTGCTGATTTAAATCCACTAGGGACTCGACAGAAGATGGGTAATTTCTCTTGCAAATTGCAGCTTTAGAAAGCTCGAGGGTCAGCTGTGAGTTGGCTCTTACTCAACAGCATTAAGTTTGAGGTTTTTCTTTGAGTTGTAAATTACTGTCATACTCTTGGAGATAGATTTTTAGATCAATTTATTAGCAGTGAGATTATCACATAGAGTGTTTTAATAGGTAGTGTAAAATTGCCTTTCAGAAGATTTATGTTGATTTAAGTTTTATTTTTAATTGTTTTTTTCTCTCTTGCCTTATTTTTCAGTTTCTATCTTTTCTTACATATATCTCTACTCCTTTTTAGTCTGTGAACAAAGAGGAGATTGGATAAATAAACTGATTATGCCATAGAAAATTGTACAGTAGTGAAAATGAGAAAACTATAGGTTTGTGTATCAAAATGGATAATTTCTTAAAAGAATGTTGAGCATTTGCAGAAAATATAATTGAATAGACCAACTTAATTGTAAAAATGATACTTGGTTTATTGATACATGGTTAAAATATATTGAACACCAAATCCAAATAGTTTTCTTCCTTGGTGAGACAAGGAAATTAATGATGAACAGGAGAAATATCAGAGGGCTTTATTTTTATTTCTTAAGCTGGAGGGCAGATATATAGGCTTTCCCTTCTGTTTCTTTGGATCTTGAAGTAGTAATTAGAAAGCAAAGGGGAGAATGTTTTTATAATTGTTAATTGTAGGAAACTATAATTGTCTTTTTTTATAGTGAAAAACTTAATTGGAGTGTTTTCTGTTTGTTTCATGGGGGGAAAAGTAAAACAAATTAATTGAGTTTTACTCCAATATCCTAGGACTGATTTTGTTACTTTTTCATAAAGTCAGAAACCAGCAGTGGAAAAAGAATTCTACCATCTGTGCCCTCAACATAGGTGTTTACCGTTGAACAGTTTATCCATTTTTATGCATATTGATCACAAATCATGTTTATGTTATCTGTAAAAAAAATCAAATTTGTTAAATAGTTTAGTCCTTAGGAAATTTATTCTCAGTCTTTTCACCTTTCTTAGTGTGCATAGTAATGGTTCACAGTAGTATCTCCGTATCAGTGGTATAAGGAATAATAAAATTTATTGAAATGTATCCCTCCCTATGTGTTTAAAATAATGCTGGACTTTTTTTTAGGATATTAAGAAATGTATCATTTTAAAAGCTGGTTATATGAGAAGCTATTCACTTTTAACACTAAATTCTCTATAGATGAAATTGACAGTTCTTCAATGTCAGATGATGATAGAAAAGAAATTGTAAACGTTCAGACTTGGATAAACAAGCCAGATGTCAAGCATCATTTTCCTTGTAAAGAAGTGAAAGAAAATGGACACATGTTTCCTAGGTACTTTTAAAAATTCTTTCTTCAATAAAATTTGGCTTAATTAATAACATAAAACTGAACTAACTACAGAAAAAATTTTCTTTATCTAATAAGCTATAATTTCCTTATATTATCATGTCTGGTTTGTTTTTGTAATCAAGATGCATTGATAATAATGGGTGACTGGAATGCAAAAGTTGGGAA